AAAAAAAAAAAAAAAAACACATTCACACAAAAATATAAATTTGAAATAATTAATAGCACCAGTGTGTCAGATAATAGTTTCTTTCCCCCCGCTACGCAAAGTACAAAGTTGCATAGTGTTAAAGGCTATATATGAATCTCAAAGGTGGGCTGGTAGGAGGGAGGGGTTGTGTGGCAGGGAATCGTCACACTGTGATCTTGCAAGAAAACCACAGAGCTGAGGATCAAAAGTTGAGAAGCCAACAAGGCAACTCCACCGATGGGTCTCCCCTCCACACTTGGAGGGAAGGTTTAGAGTGGGTTTAAATCACAAAGTGCAGGAGCTAGACGGTGTTGGCAGCTGTGTGAAATACTGAGTGCAAGTATTTGCCACCAGGATTTGGCAAACTGTTTAGAGAGATTCTAGAAGTTGGGAACGTCAGAAGCTAATTGAGGATAAGGGTCAAAGGCGTCATCTCTCCCCAGTGGAAGAAAAACGGGTATGTGGGATCCTGACAATACAGGCTGCATCTAAGTTTCCTCCCTTTGCTAGGAAAGACTAGGATGAGGAGGCTTGTTCTGTGTGTGTCTGTCAAGATCTCAGGGGCCAACTTCTCTCTACCGGATTAACAGCACTAGTTCCAAGACTAATGTACTAAAAAAAGCTCTAAGAATTGGTTTGATTTTGAAAAAGACTTTAGTGGTTATCATATCCCTATTACTTCTGTATAAATTCCATTTATAGGAATATCAGAAGATGTCTATGGGGAGTGCAAGCTGCCCATCCAGATTTATCAGCTGCCCAAAGATCTGAAAAACGTTTATCTTCCTAGTCAAATTATTAACATACAAGAAAATGTTCAGCCTACTTCTGCAGCCTCATTCTCCTGGAGACTGTCATAAATAATTGCATCCTTACCCGTGGATGGCTCAGTGTCCTATACTCAAAATAGCTAAAACAACTGATGATGGCTCTTGACATTCTAAATGACCAATACCTTTGGCACAGGATGTTTATTTCCTTTTGCTTAAAAGAAGGAGGGGTAGTAGATGGAGGTGCATTTTCTTTATCGATAGACTGGATATACTGGCCATCACAATGCTACTAGTGGTAGCCAAACTTTTCCTTCATAGAAACAAGAGTACTGAGACTGAGGAGTTCTGTTGGTATCAGTGAGAAGGGGAGGGCTACTTGCTCAGCCCTGGCAGACAATGGTTCCCACGAAGCGTTTACGCCACCGTACGATACCGTAAGGTGCCACGTCCTCACGCAACTCAGAAGGGAAAGTGTGGGTAAGGGAGTGCCTTCCGTGGAAGAGAGACTATCAGATAAAACCCTTTGTTCCCGATTCATGATATCTGACTTGTTTCTTTTTAAGCTTTGTGAATTTTCCTGGTTCAAAAGGACAGTGGTGGAGAGCAGCAGAGAAGTGGGGGTCTGAGAAATGTCATCTTTGTGTTAAGGCACTCTATGGCCTCACAACGGCTCCCTGGTCGGGGGGTGCTGCCTTCCGGCCCTACGCGATGATGCTAGGGCTTTTCAATGGACGGGGTGTTGAAGCAGCCAGACGGTAGGGTCTTCTTGATGTCTTCCAGGTTGCGAATGTCCTTCATGATCTCCTCGATATCTCTGTTATAGTCCATGATGGCAGCCTCCTGCTTCCTCGCTTCATTCTCCAGGTCAGATACTTTCCTGTCTAGATCGCTGACTTTCATCTCATCTTTGGCTTTGTTCAGGGTACCTTCAATCTCATTCAGCTTGTTCAGGTCCACTGTGTCCAGCTGCCCTGTAGAGTCGGAAAGGACACAGAAGGAAATAGATGCATTCAGTAAGAGTTATCACATTACTCCACAAGTAACTCCACTCACATCTTCTATAAACACAGACCCCCAGCCACCCCCAAGCAGAGTTGGCCTGCACGTGTGATGTGTAGACTGTTCGTGTTGTGCAAGGGTGTGGTCAATGCAGACCAACGACAAATGCTGACCTTGCTAAGTTAGGACAGGTCAGAGCCTATATATAACAGATACTGGGCTGGATAGTTTTTTTCTCTGAGAAAACAGTTTTTGTGAAATGCTTTCTAAATACACAGGTGCCGTGTTCAAGACCTTAAGTCTCACTTGTGGTTTTGAAGGTCATCTGATTACATATATAAACATAAAAATGGCAATAACTGTTATCTGTATGCCATTTTAATGCCATCTGACGAACATAAGAATCTTTAAGCTGAACTCTAGGCCCTTAGCTCTTAGATTCCAGGGAAGCTGCATTGGTTTTGGGAGTCATGTCCTGCCTTTAGGAGTTAGACACTACTTGGAGTCCTCCTATGGAAAATGGCCAGGGATGAAATGCTGAAATAATTTCAGCAAAAGCTTCACTTTAAAATTAGCAAGAAAAAGAGGTTCTTTTGGAAGGAATTGTTTCCATAATTAATGAGAGCAGACAGCCACACGGTGATCAGCAAGTTACGCATACTGTACTTGATTAAATTCTCACGAGACCATCTTATGCCAGTGATTCTCAGATGTTAACTCATTTGCCCAAGTTTGCAGTTTACAAGGCAACAAAACAAAGATTCCTACCCAAGTCTGACTAACTTTAAAATCTAGCTCTTCCCACAAAAAGCTACCTCCTCTAGCTTCCTGTCATTTTAAAACCCATCTGTTAGCACATTATTTATTATTTTTGGTATTTGAGACAGATAAAAAATATACCTCCCCCCCCACCTCCCCCTGCTCCAAAAGAAAAAGTGACCAAACCTTAAAGGCTGGCAAATTAAAACAGAATGCCTTGCTACAAAGCTGTATTGGCTGGATTGTTACCACTTTATAATGAAGGCTTGTGACAAAAGTACATCTGTCCTATAATGAAGTCTGCTCCCTATTAAACTAGATTAAAAGAGCATTTCAACATGCTCATATTTCCTTATTCTATCAGTAAGAGAATAATCAAATAATCTGACTCTTTAAAAAACTGTCAGATTATCCTTTTAATTAGCAAATGAAGAGAATTCCAGGCAATGAAGTCATCACCAGTTTAAAGTGTTCTTTTATTCTGCCACTGAAATCCTTCACTCTAAATCTTTTAAAGACACTCTGCCAGCAGAATGAGCTATTCAATGTATCATAAACATCGACCATAAATGAGCCACTCTGGCAACCTATCTTCCTAATTTTAGAAGTCCTGGTCAGAGTCCAGTACTTAGATCATATGCCACGGAAGAAGTATTTGTTGAATTAATACAACTGAAAGTCACGTTTCGGTTCACACAATACTCATGCTGTAATATCTGCTTTTGTGACAACTATACCAGACCCCAAGAACAAACAATGCACAAAATTGAGATCCTGCCTAAAATGGCTCTCCAGCTACTTACCCAGCTGCTCCAAGAGGTCATTAATCAGGTTGAGGAGGCTGGTGACGGAGTTTTTGGCTTTTCTGGCATTGATCTCGGCTTCCTGAGCAGCCTGTGAAGCCTGTACAGAGAGAAGGACAGATGAAAACAACAGTCCCAATAGTGTGTCTTCATCTTCTTGAAATGAAGAATCAGCCCCTAATCAGCCAACAGTCCAATTTTCAGATGCTTTTTTCCTAACTCATGAAACTATAATCTCTCACTGTAGGGTTGTTTTTTTTTTTTATCCTATCTTCATGGTGAAATGTTATTATTTTTAATTCATATGATTGTCATGAGTAGGCAGTCCACATGCCTACACTGAGTGTATTTGTATTTCAAAAAGACCAATATTATTTCCTTTCCCCACTTTCTCACTCAAGAATACACAGTATATTCATAATATAATTCATCAAGCAGAAACAAGTTATTTTTAAGGAGGAGTATAAAAACTACATTTTAGAACGGAAATATGTCCTTCAGGACACTCTTAGAGACTTGACTATCTTAGAAACTTGATTAGAAATGTTGTATTCTCAAAAAATTTTCATAAGCAAGTGACACCCTCTAGAACACCCTCGCCCCCTGCAACCACACGTGCCTGTGCGCACACACGGGTGTGCACGTACCCACACAAACTGGGGCAATACAATTTACATTTTTAAAATCAACCAAAGGTAAATATATTTGGGAAAGTTCCATGAAACCTGAACAAATACACTGTGCATGAGTCATGGGAAATGGCAATGGAAGAGGAAGTGTCTAAATATCAGAAAACAGATGCTCTCACAAATAAATCTAGCCAGGATATAAATGAGTGGCTTTGAGTTCCCTACCACATGATTGTTTTTCCTAGTTTTTGGCTCAAGATAATGCAACGTTTTTGGATAGAAACAATGTAGGATTTTTAAAAAGAAAAAGAGGAAAAAACCTTCACAGATAAATGATTAATCTCTGTTGAAATCACAGCCATTCTTAGTCTCGATAGGCTTTTCTGTGTGTTACCAGGAGAGGGGTAAATGACTGCTATGGCCTGTGGACAGCAACACTACTGCATTTAACCTGTGGTCTCCAGCCTCCTGTTCCAGGACAACTGTAAGCTTTGCTCTTCTGGTTAAGAAAAATATTTAAACAAAAGTGGCTTGACGCTGTGTCTTTCAGGACTGACGTAAATGTAAGTGGGACAGTGTATGTGAGGGTGCTTTGTGTTCCTTGGAAGCTATTTACCAAAAGAAACAAAAGATGGATCCACTTCCACCCTTTGAATTGAATCCATACCCTTCCTTTGAAGCTCATTAAGAATATATCCTTTTCCTTCTTTCAACAGTCTCTGAATCTAATGTTCTACAACCACATTAAAAATGAAATCTAGAGATGCTCAGCACATCTGAGAAACAGATATTTTTTTTTACTATATAGTAATTTCCATTTCAGCCATAAACTTTGCTACAGAAAATTAAGGCAGTCCAAAACAAAACCCAAAAAGCACAATAAAATTAGGTATTTGCAAAGGGATGCTTCCTGATATCACTTCCCTAGAGTCTTCTTTGCCTAGATAAACAGGATCATAGTTCTTCTTTCTGTCCCAAGGTGAAAATGAGCCAGACTAGAAAGTCTGGTTTTCAAAAGTGGGAGAAAGGTCCCTTGCTTGCACTGAAAGTGCACAATTAAACACGTTCATGTGTATCATTCCTGTGATTGTAATCCGACTGAACTGAAAAGTTCTTTCTATTGTGACTCCATCAAAGTCTTTTGAAAGCAACATATAGCATAAAATAGAAAAACGGACTCTCGTTCTTCATTAGGCCATGCATTCAATGAGTTAATTTTGTTACCAACAACATCACAAAAGAAAAAAAAAAATTAAACTGGAAGTAAGTTTGGTATGTTTTGTCATCTTTAAAAATGAAACATGAGAAACTGGTCTTTGCCCCTAGAAAGCAAGTTGCTGGGGTAACGAGTAGGAAGGACATCAACTTTTCGTTGTACTCCTTTTGATTTTATACCATCAATGAAGCATCCCTCCAAAAATATAAATATGTACTTTTTAATGTCCTAAAGCTTCAAATGTGTAAAAGAATGTTTTGCTTTTAGTTGAGAGAAGCTTGGGGACAGGACAATTGTGCAACACCCTGGCAGGGGGTCCAAATTCTTTGTCTTCTATGTCAGCTACTAGGCCAATTCATGGCCCCAAAATGCAATGAGAAACAAAAGTCAATACGAAAGAGACATTTCTTAACAAGATGGGGATCTTATTTATTGATCACCCTTCACTTCCTTCCAGAAGCAAATAGGCCAAAACAAACTGCTTACCATCCCTGCCATCATCATATCCTGGTCAGCATCATCTTGTTTTCTCTTCAGCTCCTTTTCTGCTTCCTGTAGTTGTTTCAACATATCGTTCACCTCGTTATCCAGGTCTGTAACTTCTGCAAATGTCTTTTCAGCTTCTGCCTTGGTGCTGGTAGCATTCTAGGCATAAAATAAATAACTATTAATGAAAAAAAAAAAAGCTTTCCTTTTTCTAAAGTATGCTCCCACACCTTTTATAATCTGTAAAATGGATCAAAAATACAATCCAGAAAGAACGGAACAGTAAATTATACCATATGTTGAGTTACGCTATCATTTATTTGGGTTCCAAATACCAGGAATGAAAGAAAAGCCAGCCTTACCACCTAACATAATAGCATTTTACAATTTATAAAATACTTCTGTTTGCACCCTCTCATTTATCCTTAATACTTCCTGTTCTGTTATTTCCATTGTTAGTTGAGGTCGCGTGGCTAGCAAATGATAAAACATTTACACGGTGTACATTCTCCTCCACATCACATGGATTAGACACTTTCAAATTATGCATTTTTAATGCAAATGTAGCCTTGTTCTACTTGGCAATTCATCACAATGTACAAAAAGACCATGATCCCGAAATAGGAATATTTTATAAAATGTAATTAATCCCTAAACCAACTATTCTAAGCAAACTAAAAAAAGTATATGATTCTCAAACACATAATTTTAGAATCTGTTCCAGTCTCTCTTTTAAATAAAACAAACAGATTAACCGTTAAGTAGGAAAGAGGCAGCTTAAAGAGATTATTCTTTACAATGAGTAGAAGGAATCCTGGCAGTGGAAGCTAATAGGAGGGGCTCAGATACAACATCCGTCTGGAAGAGGGGCCTCAGAGTTGGACGGACTTGGCACTCTACATAAGGCTGAAAAAAATTTCAGCTGTCCATGTCAAAGAACTGTGTTTGAGAAGAGTCTGACGTTTGTGTGGAAGGGGCTCTGTGGGTCCAGGAGCCATCCCCCACTCACAATACAGACCCTGCCACTGAGACAACAGAAGAAATGTTAAAGGGCTCTTTCGATGATTTCAATGATTCTGACTCTCCCTCTTCAGTCAATGTATGTACCTATTCTACTGCCTAGTAAAAAATGAATAAGGATAGTTTAAGGTGATTTTACTGAATTCGAGGAAGAAGCCTGCTAGGCTTCTAGGGGTCTGGACAGAACCTGGAAGATGACTAGAGAAGTACATGAGCAAAGAGTGTCTGGGAGAAGGGGGAAGCACGCACCCTTTGGACAGCACTGGCGATCCTCTCGGCCTCGTGGGCCTTGCTCTTGGCTTCAGTGGCATCCGCAGCGGCATTGCCCAGGGCCAGCTGTGCCTCCCTCGTCTTTTCATTGGCTTCAATTATGGTCTGGTTGATGGCAGGAATTCTCCTTAGAGCCTCCTCTGCAGCTGTCTTGTTATCGTTCACACGCCTGTCAAAATCTAAAATCAAGTTCAAGGAACACATTTGAACTGAACTCTCAACAAGCCAAAAGGGAACCTTTCAGGAAGCTGCAACTGGAATTTGTTTTATGAACAATGAAAGCCAGGAGAGAAAAATGAAAACCAGCATGGGCAGCCTTGAGAAGAACAGAGCACAAGGCTTCAGAAAAGTTTATTTTCATGCAAAGCACTGAGTATGCCATTACGACCACTGCAACCAATGTTAAAGGCTGTAGTTTATTTAGTGTTTCCTATGTCTTAGCTATGGAGTTAAGAGCTTTTTGGTGTGCCTGTGATGCAGGCACTGTGTCATTTTTGTAAGTGAGAACTGAGGATTAAAGAGGTAGATAATTTCCCCCAAGGGTTCACAGAAATAAGTGGGGGATCAGGGATTCTAACTCAATCCCACTGACACCAGAGCCAATATACTCCACCATTATCTTGGTTTTTTGTTTATTTTTTTTTTAATGTTTGCATGCATGCTCACTCTCTGTCAAAAATAAACAATCAGGGGACGCACAGGGAGAGAGGGAGTCACAGAATCTGAAGCAGGCTCCAGGCTCTGAGCTGTCAGCACAGAGCCCAATGCGGGGCTCAAACTCACAAAGCATGAGATCATGACCTGAGCCGAAGTCAGACCCTTAACCACCTGAGCCACCAGGCACCCTCAACCATTATCTGGTAAAGCTTCCATATTTATAGAACCTACGGGCTAGTTTATCAGAGGCAAGTCCAGCACTATACTGTGAACTAAGCACATGTGTTTTTTATCTTGGGTGAGGAAAGAAGATAAAAACACTGAGATGCACTTGGCAGAGAAAATTAAAAATCATCTCTATTTACCAACATGAGCCAGCTAAATAGGCATATCTTGATAACATGAATTATTCTAACATCAGAAAATTTCCTTTTTTTTTCTCCCCCACACTGGGGTATAAAGGGGTAAAATGACATGAGCTCTGAGATTTTTCTTTGAAATACTTCAGCATAAAAAAACTAGGGTGGATGCTGGGGGATGAGGTAGGTATAGTTAAAATCATAACTGTTGAATCTAGATGAAGGATTTATGGGGTTTATTATACTATTATCTTTCATATTATAGATGTTCCAAGAATCTCATGGTAAAAAAAAACAAAAACAAAACGGAAATCGCCCTAGTGAAGAAAGCATAGACATTTACCCAATTATGTGACCTGCTCCTACCTCTCAGGTTGCTGAGGATGTCGTTGGCTTCTTGTAAGGTATTTCGTCCCTTTTTAGCAGCTTCTTCGGCAACAGCCTTGGCGGCATCTGCTCGGGCTAGGAGCTGGTCAGCAGTCTACAAACACATGGCAGATCAGGGGACGAACCCTCCAAGGTAAAGCCCTTTTTTCTCCTAATGACCAGGCACCTCCAAGCTACCACCCCGACACCTGCCCGCCTACAGCAGCTAGCCCTGGGTGCCCCACAGACTTTCCTCCGAACACCCTCGGGCTCGCTGCCCTGGGCCCTGAGGTAACATCACAGACACAGCTTCTGCATGCACGGTTTCAAATTTTGCCTCAAGACAGGAAGCAACCTGCAAATCAAACCAACCTGCTGTTCGATCTTTCCCTTCTCCAGAAGCTTCTTGACTTCCAGTTCCTTCCCTCTCATGTCCTCTCTGAGGTCCTCATAATCTTTTAACTTCTGGTCAATCAGATGGTCCAGATCCTCAGCTTCCTTCTTTATTTTATTTGCCTCATTCTGTGAAAAGCAAGTAAGATTGTGACATTTTAGACAAAACAATGAAACTGATGAAAAGCTAGCCTTAGTAACTCTGTAACACTTAAGACTCAATAGATATTTTAAAAAAAATTTTTTTTAATGTTTATTTTTGAAAGCGTGAGAGCACAAGCAGAGGTGGGGCGGAGAGATACGGGGATGGGGTGGG